CTCTTTCCCCTCTTACAGAAAAAGAAACATTAAAAAATTTATCATTTTATTTAACTTTACATATTTATTTTATTTTAATTTGACCAGTGAGGGATAGAACAAGTGAGAGAGAGAGCGAAAAATAAAGAGAGAGGGAAAGTGAGAAAGCAAGCCACCAGGACCAGGACTCAAACTACAGCTGGCTGTGTGGGAGTCCAGTGCCCTTAACCATCACGCCACTTGTCGGCCCCCAGAAGAAACTTAAGTGTGGGAGCAGTGCTTGGCACCAGACAAATGGGCTTGTTGTTAGTATTTATTCCATTGCACAGTGATGATCACTGTCCTTTTCCCCCATTTGACTGGAAGCTCCTGGAGAACACAGCAGTGACTGAAAACCAAGCTAGCATTGCTAGTACTCAGTAAGAGAAGGCCTGGCCTGGTCTTCAAGAGGGGCTTTGTAATCGTGTGCAGAGTGATGTACCATGGCCGAGCTATAAGCTGAAAGAATTTCTTGAGGAAGATATTTCTGCCTGTCTTTTTTTTAAAATTTAATTTTATCATTATTATTATTTTTTTAATTTGACCAGAGACAGAGAGGAAAAGTGAAAAAAATGAGCCACCAGGTCTGGGACTCAAAGTGCCATTGGTCATGTGGGAGTCCAGTGCCTTAACCACCATACTACCTGCCAGCCCCAACTGCCCAACTTTCAAAGGTCTTTCTTATCAGTTAGTCACTGCAGATGTCAGTCAGCCGGGGGACTTGTGTGGCTCATACAGTATGTCTGTGGCAGAATGGGGTTAGAACCCAGGTCTCCTGACTCCGGTCCTGGTCTCCAGCTATAGCACTGACCTCTCTCTTTCAGTAGCTTCTGCTCCTTGAGTCACAAAGACCACGCCCACCTGCCCCACCCTGCCCTGCTATGTTTGTTTGCTTAAAATAAAGGCAGATGAGTTTTTGGAAGCTCAACAAGAAGTAGAAATGGAATAAGTCATTCAAGAGGACACAAAATAGCCCATAAAGGGACTGTCACCAACTATGAAGGGACTGAAATTGAGTATAAATTTAAAACAAATGTCTTTAGGCAAAGGGAAGAAAAATCCTGAGAAAGAACAGACACATCTGGGAAAGAAGGCTGGTATCTTAGCACATTTGGATAACAGGATATCTGAGACTGGGTAATTTATAAACTAAAGAAAAACATTTAAAGTTCATCTATTTCTCCCATGAGTGAGACAAGGAGAGGGAGAGACCACACCCTCCACAGGGTCTCAACACCATCGTCCACCCCAGCCAGCCCTAGATCACAGGGAAGTGTGTGCCAGGCGTTCTTGGAGAGTTCTCTGATATGAACCCAGAACCTTCCTGTATGGTCATCCTCACAGAGTGTTGCATTTTATTGCTGTGTCACTGTTCAGCCCAAGAAAAGGAACGTATTTCTTAAAGTTCCAGCAAGTGGACTGGGCAGCCAGATCTGGTCAGCTCCTGGTAACCCTCACATGGCATCCCAACATGGGGAAGTACAAGGGGAAGTGGGTGTGCAGGAAGGGGTGGGACATGATGGGCAGCCTTGCTTTATAACCCCTGCTCTCACAGTAGTGAGTCCAGTCTCGCCAGAACGGCATTCATCTCTCACTCTCTTTTTTTTTTTTAAAGAGAGACTTTTGCTATCTGGTACGTGCACTCACTGGAGAGTGAGAGAGACAGAAAGTGAGGAATCAACCCCAGAGGGGTTGGCCATGCCACAATCTCTTCTCCTTCATTGTCCTCTCAGGATTTGGGGCACGCATGCACATGCGCCCAGAGTGAGTTTCAAACCTCTGGGTCCAGGACTTGAATCACAGTCGGCCCTGTAGGAGTCCAGCAATGTAACCATTACACCATCTGTTGGTCCTCAGCATACATCTCTTCATGAAGGTAGAACCCCCATGACCCAAAGTCCTCTTGAGGTCCCCACCTCTTGATACAGTTATGTGGACAGTTACATTTGCACCAGTGCTGGTGGGGACAAACCATGTCCAACCACAGCTGTTGTGGCTGAAACAGCGTGGTGCTCTTGCTACTAGTGTCTTCGAAAACCCCATGCTGACCCCAGCTCTTGGAGAGGAGCCCTCACAGCCTTTTAAACACAAGTACCCACAGGGGGCGCTCTTCTGGAAGCCTGGGCTTCCATAGCAATGTTTTCTGCCATGCTCCCCATCCTGCCCTGGCTAAGAGTTGGGGTCCCCAAGAATCTGGAAAACTCACTCAGGGACCTAGATATCCAGGTTACTTGAGAACTCCAGCATTCTAGAAGTTCATGGATGGCCTTCAGAGCTCTAACAAACGTCCCCTCCACACCGCACCCCCACCCCTCCCAAGATTCCAGAAAATCTTACCCCTCTTCCATAGTGTTTAAAATTCCAGGTAAGATTTCTGAGAATTTGGAATTCTGAAAAATTCCTACAGGGCTTTGGAATATCATAATGTTCTGAGATACCAGAGACCTTAGTGTGACAGTTCATGAGAACTACTCCTGTGTTCAGGGAGCGAGAGAACTGCCCCCAAGTCCTGGCAGTCTGCAGAAGGCCTGTTGCTTTCAGCATCCCAGAAGTGCCCACCTGGGCCTCCAGGCTCTCAATGAGGACCACTGGATTGGACAAGTCTTGATGTGTTACTGGCCCCTTTAGACTTGTCCAGGGTTAGGGATTGTAGAAAAGTGGCATTTCTAGAGTGTGAATGCTGATCGAGGTGGACAAACAATGGCTTCGAGATGGGGGCCAATCTCCTGAATCCCCAGCCTATTTCTGGAAGAGGAAGCCAGGTTTGGCTGAGCTGGGGCCTGAGCTGAAATGAGGAAACTGGAAAATCGTGACTGGCTCCAGCAGGGATCGTCCAAACACGAATGAACCAGCAATTGCCAAGGTCCA